GAGCCACCAGGAGCTGGGCGCCATGGGGCAATGAGACAATGTGGCTTCAGCACTCGGAGGGGCTGCGTGCAAACACGCCTAGGCTTCCTCCAGCCTGGACAGCAGCACTGAGCTGTGGCACACATGGCCCCTCCTCCAGGCGCTTAGACCCTGGCGACTCCCAGGTGTCAGGGAGGATGGCAGATGTGTGTCGGGCACATCGGGAATTGATGGGCAAACGTGGTTGCCAATGTGGGATGCAAAAGCAAACCCAGCAGCCCTCAGCCTGGGGCTGCAGCACAGAGCTCAGGCTTGCATGCTTTCATGACTATAGTAGGCTGGATAATGGCCCTAGAGAGGTCCACGCTCCAGTGCCCACGACCCGTGAATGCATCACCTCACAGGCAGGAGGGGCTCTGCAGGTGCAGGTGGGACTGAGCCGAGGGCCTTGAGATGGGAGATGGTCCTGGGTGGCTGGGGGGCTTAGGGTCCTCAGGAGGTCCCCACAGGATTGGGTGCTGGAGGTGAGAGGAGGCGGACACAGGGAAGCAGAGGACAGAGTCCTGCTTCCAGAGGCAGGAGAAGGGGCCAAGCACCCACAGCCCCCACAAACTAAACAGGCAGAAAACAGCTCCCTTGGAGCCTCCAGAAGGAACTGGCCCTGCCACACCTTGATTTTCACCCCAGCACCCCCACCGTGGACTTCTGCCCACCAGAGCTGTCAGAGAATGAAGCTGTTGTCAGAAGCGAAGCAGTTTGTTTTGCAGCAACAGGGAGCACGCAGGATGATTGCTGGCTGTGCTCCCAGCAGGTGTCCTCCCAGCAGGCGTCCTCCCAGCAGGTGTCCTCAGCAATGCCCACATTTGTTGTTTTTTGAGGCAGAGTCTGGTGTGTCACCCAGGCTGGAGCGTGTTGGCACAATCATGGTTCACCGCAGCCTTGAATCTCTGGGCTCAAGCAATCCCCCGACCTCAGCCTCTCGAGTAGCTGGGGTCACAGGCACACACCACTGCACTTGGCTACATTTTTGTAGCAATGGGGTCTCCCTATGTTGCTCGGGCTGGCCTCCAACTCCTAACCTGCTGTGCTCCTCCGGCCTCAGCCTCCTGAGGTGATGGAACTACAGGTGCGATCACTGCATCCGGCTTAATGCCCACGTATAATAGCTTCTTATTTAGCCAGATGTCCCTGCTAACCAGGTCTAACCATTGTTAACATTACTTCGACTTCAGGACTGTGGGCTCTGGTGCTCTGGGCTGAGGCTGTCTGCAGCTCTGCCCACCAAGCCCAAACTACAAAGTTTCTGGTGGAAGGCAGAGGAGGGGCTGAGAGGTGCATCTGTGCAATGGAATATTATTCGGCCATGAAAGTCAGGAAACCTGGACACAGGCTACCACGTGGATGAACCTTAATATGCCAGTCACAGAAGGACAGACTGTGATTCTACTTCCAGGAGGTCCCTGGAGTCTTCAGAGCCCTGGACACAGCAGCAGACGGAGCACCAGGGTTGGGGCAGGGAGTCCGTGTTTCGTGGGGACAGAGCTTCAGTGTGGGAAGATGGAAAAGTCCTGAAGACAGTGGTGGTGACGGCTGCCCAACAGCAACGAACAGCTTAGTGCCACTCAACTGGGAACTTAAAATGGGTTAGAATGGCAACTTTTCTGCATAGTTTGCAAAATAAAGAAAGGAGGGTGGATGGAATATAAGCCTTTTTCCTCCCAGGAGGCAGTGACACCATTTCCTATTTCTTTAGCGCCCACTGTCTGCAGTGGACCAGGCGTTTCCCCACAGGGAGCTGCTGCCCCCATCTGGGTCACAGCCCAGGGGCAGGAGACTCAGCAGGGGGCAGGCACTGAAACCAACCTGCGCCCTGGGCTTCCCAAATTCTCTGAGGCACCCAGGAGACCCTGGGAGGTCATCCTGGCTAGACTCTGGCTTGGGGTCTCCCCAGTGTCTGCTGTGTGTAGGGTGCTCATGGCTCCTGCACCCCTACTCCTGCACCTCGGACAGCACAGTGCGTGCAGGAAACCCTGCAGAAGCCAACCCTGTGTGGCAGCTGGACTTGATCTCATCAGAGAGCTCACATTTTGTCAGTAACACCGGCTCCTATTTCTCAAGAACTCGTGTTCTGGCAAACAGCACCGAAGCACTCGCACCAATGTGCTCTCCAGGGAGCACTGAGTTAGTGTCCCACCGCTGACCCTCAGTGGCTGGGTTGGGATGGTCAGCCAGCGACTCAGCTTGTCTGAGGCCTGAGCTGGGCAGGGGCTTGCACTGTCTGGGATTCAGCATGTATTTAATTATATGTGAGGCTGAGCGATTTTCGTGGGAATCACCAACATTTTACTGTTCCCCACATCCCATCAATCAAGTGGACAGGAGGTGATGTCCTTAACCAGCCCCTAGCTGGATGCTCAGAAGCACCCTGGCTTCCGGTTTTGTGAGGTCATTAACATGTCATTTCTCATGCTTTGAAATATTCCCTTAGGATGGGGGTGAGAACCATCTTGCTTGGCTCTTCACCCACACGACAATCACTTCCGAAAGAGACCTTTGGTCAGCCGCAGTAGCTGCAACACTCGGACACGTGTCACCAGGCCCCACGCGGAGGGCGACTGCTTCTTAACTGGACAACTGATTTAGGGACGCGCATCAGGAGGTGTGAAGGGCTGGATGACACAGAGCCCGGGGTTGTCACTGAGAGGATCTGGGGTTTTGGGGTACACAGCAAGGGCTAGGGCTGGTGTTCCTGGGGTGACTTCTGTAGCTGGGGCAGCCCAAACTTCTCAGATTCGCGAACGTGACACAAATATCCGACCGAGGATATCCAAATGCTTGGGCACCTTTTGGAAGCATAATCAGGACCTGGACCTCATGAGGATGACGGGGGAAGGCGGCCCGGATGCCAGACAACCAGGCTGCGTGGCAGCAAGTGGCTTCCAAATCTGCATTGACCTCAAATCTGCACTGGGGCCACGGGCTTGGGTCAGTTCAGCTCATTGCTGTGCCTTTCAATGACAAGGTGTCCCCCAGGCGGCCACAGGCTCTGCAGTGCTGAAGGTGGGTGCTCTGCCCCATTAGGGGTGCAGGGGCCTCCATGCAGTCCAGGGAGGCCAGTGCTGAGGAGAGGGGTGCCCGAGCCCCACCCTGGTGGGGTGCTCTGCCTCCTGGTGTGGCCATTGGAAAATGCAGGGAAACTTTTCCACAGCAATACCAAGCTACGTCTGTTCAGACACAGTCATGGTCCCTTGTCCAGGAATCCCACCACTCCGACAACACAAACCCCCAGGCCTAAGGCTTGGTGCTCATGATCCTTCCCCAGACACTTCCAGAACGTTCCACGACACACACTGGCAAGCTTTCACCTTCTCTTGTCTCCTCCTCATGGTAACAGAGGTTGACCCACAATGACACACACTCTGCACAGGCCTTCTCAGGTTAGTGGGGACAGGATGGATGGGGCAGGAAGTCCAGGAGAGGCGCAGGAAGATCCACACCCAGACCTCAGCACCCAGACCACTCAGCACCCAGGCCTCTTAGCACCCAGACCTCCCAGTGTGGAAGGAAAGTCTCATAAGTGCCGAAGCAGGAGACTGAAGCCTCAGCCAGCTCCTGTCTGATAAATAGAATATAGAAAAAAGACTCTAGTTAGGAATAAGTATCACGAGTGATTGGATATTAGTCTTATTGAATATTAAGCATCATGAGTGATGAGATATTAGTCTTAGTGAATACTAAGCATTGATTAAAGCCTTCTTGTACTGTATGCATATTTACTTAAGAACTTTAGGTCGCTGTGGTTAGGGACTGATGAGCTATGGAATGTGGACAAGAGGCAAGAGCATTAACACCTGTGGAACACTGACTGGTGGCAAATGCTGAAAGCCAGCCCTCTGTCACACCTGCATAAGGGTTGCTGGAGGGCATCTAAAATCTCTGCAGTAGTTCCAGTGCTCGGGGAAGCACCGGCTACTCAGCAGACCTTGGAAGGGAACATTCCCTGTCCTTGGGCAAGTCGGAGAACACTCCACTCCCCTGAAGGACTGGTATCAGTCAGCCCAACCCGCAGTTACCCGGGGGTTAACTGTCTCTCTGGTGCTTTGCTATATAGGCCAGTGTCTGCCTTCACTCCCTACTTGTGCACCTGGTTCCTCTTTTGAAGGTAGTAAGAAGCAGCATTATTTTTGATGCCTTTGTTCTCACTGGGCAAGCACAGCATACGGTGCTGACGCAACTCGCTGTCCCCTGCTTCGGCTACTTGAAAGCCCTGGGCCCCTTGTTCAGCTACTTGCAAGTCTTGGCCCCTTTGTTCCTTAGACATGTGATTTGCTTGAACTCACCCTATTCTCCCTACCCCCTGCTTTGTACTCAATAAAAGTCAGAGTGTCCAGGCACTTGGGGTCACTACCGGACTCCGTGCAGTAGGTGGCAGTGGATCCCTGGGCCCAAGCTTGTTTTCTCTTTATCTCAGTGTCTTGTGTCTTTATTTCTACAGTCTCTCGTTTCCGCACCCGTAGAGAATACCCTCTAGACCCAATAGGGCTGGACCCTATAACAGCACCCAGACCTCCCAGCACCCAGACCCTGGCACGCAGACCTGTCAGCACCCAGACCTTGGCACCCAGACCTCAGTTCCATAGCCAGAAGCCTGCCTGGCCCTGGCACTGTCCGCCGGCCCTGGAACAATGTGGTTGGGTCTCCTTGGACCACAACGACCAAATGTCGCACAAATCTCTAGGCCCCGGATACCCAATATTTTAGCTCCACGTTGTCCAAACTTTGAGGGCCTGATGAGCAGAGCAGTTTCCGGCGGAGGCCTGTGGACCGATGCTGCGTCCTGAAACCCAATGTAACTTGGAGCCTCTGCTGTTTCGCGCTGGGGGGTGGGGTTTGCCAAGACCACCACCAGTGGTGCTCCCTCCTGCCAGGCGCCTCCAGCTCAGCCCTCCTCCCGCTTCACTAACCCGCAGCCCAGCCCCAGCCCCGGCCCCAGCCCCGGCCCGTCCCCGCCCCGTGCTCACCCGCTCCTCCTCGGCGCGGATGTCCGGCATCGTGCTCAGGCAGAGGCCCACGGCCGTGACGGCCACAAAGGACACGGACAGGCAGGCGAAGAGCTTGCCCGCCAGCCCCGAGTGCGGGTTGTCCACCACGTCGCGCAGGCGCCGCCGGCCGCGCTGCAGCCGCCCCCGGGGCCCCAGGGCGCGCGCCGGGCTCCCCTGCGCCCCGCGCTCCGCCGGCTCCGCGCGCGCCTCGGCCGCCTCCTCCTCGCGGCGGCGCAGGCGGCGCAGGCAGCAGCGCTCCAGGCGCGCCTCGTCGATGCCCCAGTAGGCCAGCTCGTCGCGGAAGGCCAGCGCGCACGGGCCCCGCAGCAGCCGCAGCTTCCCCGCGCGCAGCAGCGCCACGATGGCGCGGAAGGCGCACGGGCTGCGGTCGAAGAAGAACTCGTCGCGGCTCACGTCGTAGTCGTCGCACACGCGCAGCAGCTCGTCGTGGCCGCGGCAGGCGCGCAGGCGCTCCAGGCGCGCGAGGGGGCACTGCGCAAGCGCGGCCCAGGCCAGGCGCACGCGGCAGCCGCCCACATTGATGATGACGTGCCGGGCGCGGGCCCCGCCGCCCACAGCGCCGCCGCCAGGGGGCTCCGCGTGCCCGGGGAGCAGGGCCATGGCTCCATGCGCCGGAAACACCCAGGGGCTTCCGCCGGGCTCAGGAGGCCGCGCCTGCAAAGGGAACGGAGCGCGTTAGGGCCGCGACAGCTGAGCTGGGGAGCGCGTCCGCCCGCCGGGGCCGGCACTGAACCGCGGCCCCTCCGCCCTCCCCGCTCCCGTTCCCGCTCCTCCGAAGGCCCCACGTCTGCGTCTGGCTCCCGCGGGGCGCCTCAGGCGTCCGGGGACCCCGCCCAGTGGCGACCTGGCCTTGAGTTATCGCCAGGAGAGCAGCCGGGTTCTCCAGCTACGGGCCTCGAACAAGTGTCCCACCAAGTTTTGACAAATTGATGCAAACTGAAAAGAGCCAGATGTTTCAGGACGGACCCCGCCGACCAGTAAGGCCTTCGCGATGTCTGGAGGGACAGATGCAGCCCCCGTTTAGTTTGTGCGCCGCGGACCAGCCGCGTCAGAGCACGAAGGGGACCCTACTCAGCATTCTGTGAAGCAGAGAGACTGCAGAGTAAGGAGCTCCGGAAGTCCATCCCTACCTTAACACAGTGAAAAACCTGGGAAAAAACTGTCAAGAGTCAACTTTTTTGAAACTCTGGAAACTAACCAAAAGCTTGCACCAACCATGGGACACTGAGAACAGCTGAGTCTTGGTAACAATAACAACAAACGGCTTTGGCCGTTTCACATACCCTGCACCCCTGCCCCGCAGAGGTCTTGAAAGTAGCAGTCTGCATTCCCGCTACCAGCACCAGCACTGGAAGGAGACGCACAGACCTCATTCACTAAGGATCATAATTGTTGTGGCTCTGTGGAAGATTGCTCAAAGGGCCTGCCTTCATCTCCTATAACTTGGAAATCCCTCGGTGCAAAGGCAGCCACCTGGGCAGTTTTTGTCAGAAAACGTTTACAGGAAAGTGTTTTAGCTACTGCTGCCTGAGGCAATGGATGAGAGTTGGGACCATAGCCTAACAAAAAGCTTGGAATGGAAGGCTGGGGAATGAGATGATTTGGGAAATAAGGGCTTGAAAAAGCTCCAACAAATTCCTGGGAATCTGAAAGGGCACACTCATGGTGGGGTGTGCCCATACATGCCGGGAAGGGCCGGAGAAGTCCCAAAAGACACTTTTCTGGCTGACCTTCAGATTCTGCGAGCAGGAGTTGATAAGACAGAGGTTTGACCAGCCTGGCTGATGCTGAAGGTGGCCCCAAGACACACATAGAGCCCATCTGCAAAAACAAGTTTTAGTTTTTATTCCAGACATTTAAGAATCTATGTGCAATCACTTGTTGCCCACTAAGCTACTGGAACAGAGACATCAGGGGCCACATAAGACAAAGAATAGTTACTAAACAAACCACAGTAGCTACAAAAAAATCCTGGGGAGAGGGAAGAGTCTGATTTCCAGAACTGTCACATTAAAAATCTACAGTTTTCAACACAGATTTACAAGGCTTACAAAGAATATAAAAGTGGCCGGGCGTGGTGGCTCAAGCCTGTAATCCCAGCACTTTGGGAGGCCGAGGCGGGTGGATCACGAGGTCAAGAGATTGAGACCATCCTGGTCAACATGGTGAAACCCCGTCTCTACTAAAACTACAAAAAATTAGCTGGGCATGGTGGCGCATGCCTGTAATCCCAGCTACTCAGGAGGCTGAGGCAGGAGAATTGCCTGAACCCAGGAGACGGAGGTTGCGGTGAGCCGAGATCGCGCCATTGCACTCCAGCCTGGGTAACAAGAGCGAAACTCCATCTCAAAAAAAAAAAAAAAAAAAAAAAAAAGGAATATAAAAGTGTAGCTCATAGACAGGAAAAAGCAACTAAAAAAATATTCCTGAAGAAGCCCAGATATTGGATTCACTAGAAAAAGATGTCACATAAGCTATATTTAATATCTTCAAAGAGCTAAATTTGTGAGAATGACTTCTCACCAGAGGATATCAATAAAGAGAAGTTATTTTAAAAAATGATAGAAATTATGTGTTGAAAGCATAATAGCTGAAATGAAAAGCTTATTAGAGGATCTCAACAGCAGATATGAACAGGCTTAAGAAAGAATCAGAGAAATTGAAGATACATCATTTCATAGTATGCTATCTGAGCAGCAGAAAGAAAATAAGAAAACTGAGCAGCGCCTAAGAGACCTGTGGGATACCATCAGATGTACCAACTTTTGCATAATGAGAGTCCCAAAAGGAAAGAGGACAGGAAAGAGAGAATATTTGAAGAAATAATGGTTAAAAAAAAAAACCACTTCAAATTTGATGAAAAACATTACACATCTAAGAAACTCAACAAACTCCAATTAAGATAAATTCAAAGACATCGACACTGACACACCATAATCAAGCTGTCTAAAGACAAAGATTGGCCAGGCACAGTGGCTCACACTTGTAAGCCCAGCACTTTGGAAGGCCAAGGCAGGTCAGTCATCTGAGGTCAGCAGTTCAAGACCAGGCTGACCAACATGGTGAAAACTTGTCTCTACTAAAAATACAAAAATTAGCCAGCCATGGTAGCAAGTACCTGTAATCCCAGCTACTCAGGAGTCATGAGGCAGGAGAATCACTTGAACTGGGAAGGTGAAGATTGCAATGAGTCAAGATTGTGCCTATCTCCCAGCCTGGGCAATAGAGAGACTCTATTCAGAGAGAAAGAAAGAAAGAAAGAGCGAGAGAGAGAGAATTTTGAGAGCAGCAAGAGAGAAGCAACTTATCATGTGTGATGGAGGCTCAGTAAGATTAATAATTTTTTTCCTCAGAAACCATGGAGGCCAGCAGGCAGTGGGATGACATATTTAATGAGCTGAAAGGAAAAAAAAAACATGTCAACCAAGAAGTTTATATCTGGCAAAACTGTCCTTCAAAAATGAAAGAGAGAGGCCAGGCATTGTGGCTCACACCTGTAATTCCAGCACTTTGGGAGGGCGAGGTTGGCAGATTGCTTGAGGCCAGGAGTTCAAGACCAGCCTGGCCAACAAAAGAAACCGCAAGGGAATTAAAATGGCACATTGGAAAAATATCTATTTAACACAAAAGAAGGCAGTAACAGAAGAACAAAAAATATGTAAGACACAGAGAAAAGATGTGGCAAACTAGCAGAAGTCCTACCTAATCAACCACCTTAAATGTAAATGGATTAAACTCAACAATTAAAAGACAAAGATTGGCTTAATAGATTAAAAACAATAACAACAAAAACAATAATCCAAGCATATAATGTCCATGTAAGAATCTCTTTATATTTAAAGAGAAATACCTTGAAAATGAAGGAAAAAGAGCTGGAGTGGCCATACTAATTTCTGACAAAATAGGTTTTCAGGCAAAAATTGTTGTGAGGGACAAAGAAGGACATTATGTAATGATAAAAGGGTCAATCCATGAACAGTTGCATACCAACAAATTAAATAATGAGGATGATGTGAACAAATTCCTTGAAACACATGAGTACCAAACTGACTCAGGGAGAAATAGAAAATCTGAATAGAGCTATAACAAAGAAGGATTAAATTAGTAATCAAAAAAACTTTCTCCAACAAAAATCCAAGGACAAGATGGCTTTACTGGCAAACTCTACTACATATTTAAAAAAGAATGAATACCAATCCTTCTCAAACTTGTCAAAAGACTGAAGAGGAAGGAATGCTTCATAACCATTCTCTGAGGAGACAAGGACGTCATGGGAAAACAAAACTACAAACCAATAACCCTGATAGAAGCAGAGGCAAGGCAGGGCACAATGGCTCACACTTGTAATCCCAGCACATTGGGAGGCTGAGGCAGGCGGATCACCTGAGGTCAGGAGTTCAAGACTAGCCTGGCCAACATATGAAACCCTGTCTCTACTAAAAAATACAAAAATTAGCTGGGTATGGTGGTTGGTGCCTGTAATCCCAGCTACTAAGGAGGCTGAGGCAGGGAGAATTGCCTGAACCTGGGAGGTGGAGGTTGCAATGAGCCAAGATCACACCACTGCACTCCAGGCTGAGCAACAGAGCGAGACTCCATCTCAAAAACAACAACAACAACAACAGAGGCAAAAATCCACAAGAAAACACAAGCAAAATAAATCCAGCATCATATTAAAAGAATTGTATATGATGGCCATGTGATCATTTATCATAGAGATTTATCACAGGAATACAAGGGTGGCATGACACACAAAAATTAACATGTACATATTTATAGGATGAAGGGAAAAATGTGATGATTTCAATAGATGCAGAAAAGGGATTTGACAAAGTCTAACATCCTTTCATGATTTAAAAAAACCTCAATAACTAGGACTAAAAGAGAACTTCCTCAACATGACAAAGTCCACATAGGAAAAACTCACACTTAACTTCATTATCAATGGTGAAAAACTGGATCTTTTCCCTCTAAGACCAGGAACAAGACTGAAATGCCTGCTCTCATCCGTTCTACTTAACATTATACTGGAAATTCTAGTCAGAAAAATTAGGCAAGAGAAAGAAAGAAAAGGCATCCAGACTCAAAAGAAAGAAGTAAAAGTATATTTTCAGTTGACTTGATCTTATGATCTTATATACAGAAAACCTTAAAGAACACACGCAGACAGACACACATGCACACACACACCCCCACCACTATGAGAATGGGTTTAGCAAAATTGCAAGAAATTAGATCAATATAAAAAAAATCGGTTGTATTTCTATGCAAAAACAATGCACAATCAGAAAAGGAAGTTAAAATATCCATTTATAAGAGCATCAGAAATAATAAAATACTTAGGAATAAACTTAACCAAGGAGGTGGAAAGACTTAGACTTGGACACTGAAAAAACTACAAACATTGGTGGAAGAAATTTTAAGACTTGGTAAATGAAAAGACATCCCATGTTCATGTATTAGAAGACTCAATATTGTTAAGAGGGCAATCTTCCCTAAATTGATCAACAGAGTCAATCCAATAGTATGAAAATCCCAGTAATTTTTTTGAAGACATTGACAAGTTGACCCTAAAATTGCATTGGAAATGCAAGGTAGCCAAAATGATCTTGACAAAGAACAAAGTCGGAGGGCTCAAACTTACTTGATAAAATTTTATTTCATGACTCCACCTAACTCTCATGTCGAAATGTAATCCCCAGTGTTGGAGGTGAGGCCTGCTGGGAGGTGACTGGATCACAGGAGTGCATTTCTCGTGGCTCAGTGCCATCCTCTTGGTGCTGCCCTCGAAATAGCGGGTTCTCATGAGTTCTGTTCATTTAAAAGTGTGTGGTACCTACCCCCCAACCTTGTTCCTGCTTTTACCATTAACGTGCCTGCTCCCCCTTTGCCTTCTGCTATGACTGGAAGCTTCCTGAAGCCTCCCCAGCAGCTGATGAGACATTAGCACCATGCTTCCTTTGCAGCCTGCAGAACCATGAGCTAATTAAACATTTTTTCCTTATAAATCACCCAGTATCAGGTATTCCTTTATAGTAATTCGAGTATGCACTAGTACATTACTACTTACTCAAACTAAGTATAAAGCTATAGCAATCAAGAGTGTAGTATTGGCAAAAGGGGAGATGTAAAAATTAATGGAGCAGAATCGAAAGTCCAGAAGTGAACCCATAGATCTATGGTCAATTCATTTTTGACAAGGTTGTCAAGACTATTCAATGGAGAAATAATAGTATCTCCAACAAATGGTTATCCACATGTAAAAAATAAAGTTGAACCTTCTATGGTTTGGATATTGGCCTCCAAATTTTACAGTGGAATTTGATCCCCAACGTTGGAGGTGGGGCCTAATGGGAGGCGTTTGGGTCATGGGGGTGGATCCCTTACGCATGGCTGCATGGTGTCTTCATGGTAATGAGTGAGTTCTCACTCTCTGAGTTCCCTCCAGAGTTGGCTGTTGAACGAGCCTGGCACCCCTAACCCTTGCTTCCTCCCTCTCTGTGTGGTCTCTGCACACACCAGCGCCGTGCCATCTTCTGCCATGACTAGAGCTGCCTGTGGCCTTCGTCTGATGCGGATGCCCAATCTTCAACTTTTCCAGACATCAGAATCATGAGTTAAGCAAACCTTCTTCTTAAAATGAATTACCCAGCCACAGGTATTCCTTTATAGCAACACTGAATGGACCAAGGGAGACCTCTACATTGCACTATACATAAAAATTAATTCAAACTAGATCAAAGACCTTAATGTAAGCGCTAACACTCTGAAACGCACTTAGAAGAAAACAGAAGTGTAACTCTTCGTGACCATGGATTAGACACTGGTTTCTGAAACAGGACGCCAAAAGCACAAGCAACAAAAGGAAAAAGAGAAACTGGACTTCATTCAAATGAAGTTCTTCTGTATATCGAAAACAGCACCAGAAAAATGAATGACAACTAACAGTGGGAAAAAAACAGCAAGTCACATGTCACATATCTGGTCAGAGTCTAGTATCCAGAATGCAAGGAGCTCTTGCAGCTCAACCACAAATGACAAACAACCCAATTTAAACATGGGCGGAGGATTTGAATAGGTATTGCTCCAAAGGAAGTATGTGAATGGCTAAGAAGCACATGAAAAGTGATCAATAGCATTAGTCGTTATGGAAATGTAAATGAAAACTACAGGATACCACTTCACATCCACTAGGGTAGCTATATCAAACAAACAAAAAAAAAAAAAAAAAAAACACCCAATAAGTGCTGGAAAGGCTGTGGAAAAATTGGACCCTGGTACATTGCTGGTGGAAATATAAAATGTCACAGCCACAGTGGAAAACAGTTTGGCAGTTCCTCAAAAATTTAAACATACAGTTCCCATGTGACCTAGCAATTCCACTCCAAGGTGTACGCTCAAGACAAATGAAAACATGTGTTCACACAAAAACCTGTACATAAATGTTCACAGTGGCATTATTATAATAGCCAGAAAGTGAAAACAACCCAAATTCCATCAACTGATAAATGGATAAGCAAAATATGGGGCCTATATAGGGGAATGTTATTCAGCCACGAACAGGAATCAAGCACTGTTAATGCAACAGTGTGGATATAAACCATATGCTAAGTGAAAGCAGCCGGACAGAAAAGGTCACATATAGTGTCTGAGCCGGGTGTGGTGGCTCACGCCTGTAATCCCAGCATTTTGGGAGGCTGAGGCGGGTGGATCACTTGAGGTCAGGAGTTTGAGACCAGCCTGGCCAAGATGGCGAAACCCTGTCTCTACCAAAAAATACAAAAATTAGTCGGGTGTGGTGGGTGCCTGCAGTCCCAACCACTTGGGAGGCTGAGGCAGGAGAATCACTTGAACCTGGGAGGTGGAGGTTACAGTGAGCCAAGATTGCATCACTGCACTCCAGCCTGGGCGACAGAGTGAGACTGTCTCAAAAAATAAAATAAAATAAATTATCCATGATAAGTAAATTCACAGAGATAGAAAGCAGGGTAGGGGTTTCCAGGGGATGGGAGGGGGGCGTTGGGGAGTGTCTGCTAATGGCTCGGGGTTTCTCTGGAGATGACATAAAGTCCTGGAATTAGACAGTGGTGATCGTTGCACAACATTGTTAATACACTAAAAACCACTGAATTGTGCACATCAAGATGGTAAATACAATGTTACGTGAATCTTATCTCAATTTATAAAAATTATCCTGAGTTAGTAGGTCTCGGGGGGAATCCAGTAACATGCAAGTCTCATCACTGAGGTTCGAGGGCCACTGCCTTCCCCCGTCAACATCAAGTCCTTTTTATGGTTGTTGCTAACAAGCATATACTCGAACCTCTGCCAAGTAAAGCTTAAACCCACCACAAGGGCAATGCAGGAACCGGGAAAGAGCGGGGTGTAGTGGGTGTGCTCAATGTGTAGCTCACAGACTGCCAACTTGACCCAAGCATGTGATTCACCAGAGATTTTAGGGGGAAAAAAGTCAAATGAAAAGGAGGAGGGAGGGAAGAAGGGAGGGAAAGAGAGTCTAACAAAATGGCACTAGTGAGCTTGCCAGTAGGAGCTCGGCACCCCCAGTGAAGAATAGGAGAAGCCTCTTCTGAATGGGAGAGAGCACCTTGGACTGCTACTGCAATGGCGGGCAGGAGAGAAGTGCTGGGTAATCATGGGGACCTGTGACCTTCAGAGCCAAGTTCACTGCATGAGAAGTGGTGGACGCGGTCAGGATTCAAGTGGTTGTGTGTGCCTCCGTGCCCCATGGTTCATTCAGTGAACACATGATCTCAATCTATGCGCCAGACACCCCATGTCAAGGACATGGCCTGGAGCACCGAACTGAGGAACACGGATGAGTGCCACGTATCCGATACTGCATGAGCTGTGGGGGCGGCTGTCAGGGGCAGGCAGAGAGCCTGCAAAGTGGGAGAGCTTCTCTGAGACTGAGGGCTGGCCAGGCAGAGGGCTGGAGCAGGGGACCTCATTTTATTCAAAAGCAATTAGCTGCTTAGGTCATGGAAATTTGTTGCAGAGATTTCCTGCGCCCTGCTAGTCAGGCGTTCTGAGGGATTAAAGGCTTTGAAAATTCCCACCTGCTGGGCTCCCAGGGCTCACGAGATGGAGCTTCCTAACGTGGCAGGAAGTCGTCTGAACCTGCTGCCTCAGAGACTGCCCAGAATAAGCAGCAGCTGTTCGGTTTGTCGAAGAAGCGTAATGTTCAAACCCAGCTGCTCCAGCCCTCTGTGGCCAGACGGCCCTGCGAGCTGAGAGCTCCCTTGTCCTCTGCAGTCCCAGGTGGGGCTCAGAAGGAGCCATGCCCAAGTTCTGGGCTGCCTATGACACATGCCTTTGACAGGTGTGTCTCAACAGCCACCAGAGTCTCAGCTTCACCATCAGCAGAAGGCATAAGAGCCCACCTAGAAGACTCTCTCTCTGAAATGAAAAACAGTAATCCAGTACTACTTGAGGTCTCTTGCCAAATTCTGGCAGGTTCTGGGTTTACCTGACTCTGTGAAGGTACAGGGTATTCTCTTTCAGGGAACTGGTAAAATCACAGCTGAGACCAGCAGCTTCGACCTGGAAAATGAGTGTCCAGTTTCACCCTAGGGAACAAGAGAGTTGCCTGAGTTATTACTGTGGAGCATTGTGGTTCGACGCCCCACCCTCCGGTCCCTGCGGAGCACATGTGTCAGGCTTGCAGGACAGGCTGACTTCCCCGGCAGCCAAATGCTTTGTGTGATCCAGTTTTTTGTAGGCAGGGATGAATAATTATTAAAATAACTGGATAATCAGGTATAACCTGGAACTTTTGCTGTAAAAGGCTTTCTTCTTCCCAGAATACACATTTTAAAATATGGGCATAAATTACATGCTACATTAAAAGTGTTTTAAAGCTAACTACTTGACTTAAGAGATTGCAAAGCTGCTTCTGAAAGCTCTGGAGTTCCTCCCCATTCTCTGCATGGAACATCAGGAAAAGAAAGAAGAGGAACAGCTCAATAATAGAATGGCCATCACAGCACGAAGGCAGAACTGAACTGATCCTAAGGAAAGCAGGGCCAGGCAGGGCTCCCCCTCCCTGGAGGGTGACCTGGAAGGACACTGGCTAGCTGGTTCCAGAAGGTTACAAGGTCTCTGCTTGGCCAGGTCAAACGTGATGCCGTGTGTCTGTGAGCCTGACGTGCACAGCGCGGTGAGGCTGGCATGTGGGCGAGACTGCCAGGAAATTATCACTTACAAAGGTGGCTGCAGGCCAGCGATGTCATGACGTTAACTGAACCAAGCAGAGAACCAGCCAGCAGTTCCCAGTGGGGGGCAGTTCTGCCCTGGGACAGCCGGCAAGGTCTGGAGATGTCTGTGATGGTCATGACGCTGACTGGCATCCAGTGAGTAGAAACCAGAGATGCTGCCAACACCCTTCACAGGAGGCCCCCAGAGTGAAGAATTATCCAGCCCAGTGTCAGCAGGGACTGGCCAGAGGCACTCTCCATTCAAGCCTCATGAGATTCCCACAGACAAAGCCCCAACCAAGACCACTAAACTAAGATTACAAACCACATACAGCACCAGTCCTCCATGAGCACATGCCAGCACACACATTAGGAGCTGGATTAGCCTCCTAAAACTTCAGAAAATAGAATCATAGAAAATAATGAATGAAGGAATTAAAAACACAAGGGAAAGCAAAGACATTACAATAAAAACCCCAGGAGAATATAAATAAGAAACAAAACTAGAAATGAAAAATAGAGTCAGTAGACAAGATTGAAAGTAGGAAGGTCTCACGCTGAGGACCGTCTCCCAGAGACATCAGGAGTCCACAAGTGACAAATATTAACAGAAAAGTCACACACGGAGGAGAAAGTAAAATTACCAAAATTACTTTACCAGGAAGCTCAGAACAGCAGAAACAAGCCAATAAGAGGCAATGTGTAAAGATTTGGATTTTACCAGCCTTATGGAAGGCAGGAAGTCCACCGTGTAAAGGATCTTTGAGGATGAGGAATTGTGCACCCGCTGGCCCTCCACGAGGACCCCTGGAACTTTTACCTTTAAAATAATCGCACCCAGGGGAACTTGGTGATACTGAACTTGGGGAATCGGAAAGCTCTTGTGTTTCTGCATGCGAGTGCTATGATGGCATCCAGACTGGACATGGCCACCCGGGCAAGACATGGCCACTGCTGCCCTCACACAGGGCTGGGGGCTCAGGTGAGTGGGGCTGGGACAGTGAGGCTCTGCTGGGCAGTGGCCAAAGAATCGGAAGGCCTGGCTCTCCTCCTACCGACAGGCAGCCCCATGCCTTCCCTCTGGGGCCCATCCTGGACGCCTGAGTCCAAGCCCAGGAGACAGCAGCAGGCACAGCCAGCACTCCCCGGGAGCTGACTGCAGAACTGGGTTGAACCGGGCAGGTATAGCCTGGACAGCCACCTGTTCGTTCTGCCCATGCATGGTGGATTGCAGAGCAAATTGGTCTATGCTGTTTCACAGGACTGGAACCCAAGGTTAGAAACCAGAGGGGGAAGCCCCCTAAGTCCCAGTCCCTACTTGGCCCAGAGGCCCACAGGGTCAAGCCACCCACCACTTAAGTAGTTAGTGCCAGCCCTGGGGTGGCGCCCGTCCCAGCCTGGGCCGTTCCCGGAGCACGGATGTGGAGGCTTCGGGCTGGGCCTGTGGTCACACCCAGGGCCTTCCGCCAGAGTCCCGGGGGTTGCCCACAGCTACGCCTTGCTGACACGGGCTCCTGGCATCCAGAAGCTCCTGATTCGCTATGGCGTCTGCTCTGAGCCACCTGTCAGCTGCACCCACAGCCCTAGCAGGTTTCCGCCTCCCCTCTTGCCCTCTGTCCCCAGCTCAGCAGCCGGGGCAGGCCTCCTGACACCTACATGCCACCCTCTGCTCAAAACGCCAGCGCTCACAGCCCTAACTGGACCGGCCTGTCCCACCCCTCCGCCCTCCCCTGGGCACCCAGGCAAGTCCTGCCTCAGGCCCTCAGCATGGCGGTTCCTCTGCCCAGAACAGCTGCTCAGCCACGCCCACGATGACCCCTTGCCCTCGGCCTTTGCTCAAACCTACCTTCTCTTCAGACTCATCTGCGCCATTCGCTTCACGTCAAAGCCCATGCCCACCTCACTTTTCTGCGCCCTTTCTTTCCCCGCTAAAGGACTAAATGATTCACACATTATCTTTACCCAGTGTTATTTTCTGTCTGCTCCCGCTAGGATGTAAGTGTCTTGAGGGTGTCCCCACTGTCCGTTTGCTCACCCTTGTATTGATGGGAGTATTTCAGGGCAGACACAGGTGACCAGGATGCATTGCTGCAGGGACAGACGGGGGCAGGAACGGTCTCAGGCTTCCCAGGAGCCTCTCCGCACGTCCAGCAGGTGCAGGGTTTTCATGCCATGACATGTCTAGCCTGGGGCCTGCCCCATGGCAGGAGTGGGGGACCTGGTCTACACTGACACAGGGAGCCCAAGGAACCCAAGTGATACTCCCAGAAGGCAGGAGACCGCAGCCCCATGCTGCTTTGTGCCTGAAAGAACCCTGAGCCGCACAGGAAGCCTGGAGTTTAATGACGGCTCAGCCCCTGATGGGCGGGGAAGCTGGAGGAGCCGCTGACCTCCTTCATTCCCTGTCCATGGCTTCAAAGTCCAATGCACACACACACTCATCTCCAGAGGGCGGCCCATGCCTGGGCGCAGACGCTGGTGAGCCGCCATCCATGTGGACCACGGCAATCTGGGAATAATGTGATGGTCACCGTTGGGGCAAAGCCCGAGTGGCCCCACGCACCTCAAAGGAGGCTGGAGCTGAGCTCCATGTGGCCCCTGTACTGAGATGCTCTCTGCGAGTACAGGGGCTGAGTTCTGAGGGAATGCTTCCCCCGCTGCCTTAATTAAAGCCGAAACCTCTTACGCACAATTAAACAGATTCTGACAGTGTACGGGCTCTTTGGACGTGCTTTGATATTACAGACATAAAGCAAAGATTAAGTTGAATACAAAATGTTCCTCATGGAGTTGAACTGCTCAGAGCAGGCATCGTTTGCACTGCTGGAGATTAATGGCACATTATTGGAAGCAACAGTGCCCACACCATCTTTTCCCGGGGCGGGCGCTTGGGACATGGGAGCACACTTCCTTGAAACAAGGTCACTGGAGGGGGGACCCCGCTGGCTGTAATGAAATGTCACTCATGCACACATAGTGCTTGCGACCCCCCAATTCCAGCGCCAGCCCAAGTCCTCACATGATGTCTAACGAGCAGAGCCTCAGTGCAGCCTGACAATTAGAGTGAGCACAGCAGAACCAGGTGAGTGCCACGGCCGGCATCGGCCAAACAGCCCTGAAAAACCCACTTCACGTGGCCAAGCCTCAGAGTCTGCAGCTATGAAACTAATGCAAATAATAATAGAATAACACGTGTCTCACAAGGCTGTTGTGACGATTGAAAGCTAATGTGGATGCCTAGAGCAGTTCTGGTGCATAAGTCCTCACGTGCACACACACACACTCATATTCATATATGCACACATATATTCACACACACATTCACACTCACATTCACAACTCATTCACAGATGTTGACATACAGTCACAGGCGTGCACATTCACACACATGAATGCACATTCACACACACACAGTAACCCACATGCACGTTCAAACACATTCACTCACATTTGCACACAGTCATTCACTAACATACATGCACATTCACACACTCACACACCTGCACATGCACACACACAGTGTAGCTTTAAAAATTTGCTTTAAAGATAATAATATTGATTCTTGCAAAATATAGTAATAAACAAAAGCCTGTATCATAAACCCCTGTAGCAGAGCATATCTCCCTATGATCTTTTCCGAGCTTATATATAAACAAGCATTGTGCCTAGGGTGGACGTGCTCCTCCCCTTACTCTCGGGAACGTCCCGCTCTGCCTGTGGAGCAGCTGTTCATTCACCACTTTACTTTCTTAATAAACTTCCTTTTGCTGCACGTGGTGGACTTGTCCTGAATTCTTTCTTGCGTCAGGTCCAAGAACCCTCTCTAGGGGTCTGGACCAGGACCCCTTTCTGGTGACACGAGGGCTCCGTGGATGTTTGGAGCAGAAGCTGGAACTGCAGGCTAAGTCCAGCCTGTGTACCCGCCTCGTATTGAGCCACCTCCAGCGCGTGCCCTTGTGGGTGTGAAAGCAACGTTTGAATTCTTGCCGGGCTGTGATCGCGCCTAGTTTTATATAAACAAACTCACAGAAAAGGATCTATACTCTGAAGGCTGCATGCTTAGAAACTTTGAGGAGAAACTCATTATAGCTAAAGAATTTCAAAAGATTGTCTCACTGTGAAAACCCAGAGAAGGGCACAGAGTTGTGCCAAAACATGTACTCAGAAAACAAATAGGAAAGGAAACAACAACAGAATTGAGAGGCAAGAAAAGAAGGCTCAAATTTAAAAATGAGGACTGGAAGAGAGAGCAGCTCCAGTCGAGATGAGAATGTGGTGAGAAAACGCTCTGGAGGCTTCATGCCAATAAAGAAAACAACAATTGGATACTAGAATTGACTTAAGAAATGGAAACGCTGAATAAATATGAAATTCCTAAAGAAACTGAAATAGTAATTAAAAATCATATTATTTTTCCTCCAAAAATCAAACTCAAGTGACTTTATCAAGAGCTCTACCAAATATTCAAGGAACAGAATAATCCCAATGTTATACAGACTTTAACCACCTTTGCATGGAGCGGGAGGAAGATGTGATTAGAAGAGGGAGGGCTTTGGCTGTCTGGGCACGCTTAGCCCACTGCCTCCGGCAAGCTGGCGCCAATCTCCAGGACTCCACGCCACACACGTGTGGTCCACGTGCAATGTGAACATGTGTCGTCGGGAAAAGCAGTGACTGCCACTACCAAGAACATCAGGCTTTCTCAAGTGTAGCCGATAAAGAGAAGTCACTGGGATATCATAGCATTTACGATTCTAGTTAAAATTAGGTTTCCTCTAAGTGCTTATTTGCTGTGCTTCCATACATGAATGATGGCTTACGGGGCGGGCTCTTTGCAGTTGGTGGAGCTGTTACTCTACATGAGCAAGAACCGCCAGGGCCTCCACGTGCAGCGTGGTCCTCCCCACTCAAGTAAGGATCACTCAGCACTGCAAGTCCTTGGCCCACTTTGAGAACCTGCAGAAATACAAGGCGGCCAAGAACCCCAGCCCCACCACCCGACCTGTGAGCCGCCGGTTCGCAATCAACGCCCGGAACGCTTTGACAGCCCTGTTCACCTCCGGCGGCCGCCCACCCTCCCAGCCCAGCACCCACGACAAAACACCCAGCAAGGTGACGGCTCGATCCTCCCAGCCCCCACTACCACGGCGCTCGACCTGCCTCAAAACCTGATAGAGGGACCTCCCTGTGCCTGGCCTGCCTAGGTCCAGATCTGCTAATGCTTTTTAGGAGTCTGCCTGGAAACTTTGACAAGGTTGTTTTTACTCAAAATCCAATAAAACAAGGTAGTTTGGCTGTGCAGTCCCCACCAGTACTTCTGTCTGGTTGGATAGGGGAAGGGGGCCACCCCAGCCAGCTCTCAGCCAGCACCCAACCTCTCTGGGCCAGGTGGGGGCAGAACTGGAAGGCCAGACAGGCTCCCTGGGAACCAGGGACTCCGGTTCACAAAGCACTTCACCTGTCTGAGCTTCGGTTTCCCTCTTTTAAAGTGTTTAATTTTGGGGCCAGGGGTGGTAGCTCATGCCTGTAATCCCAGGACTTTGGGAGGCTAAGGCAGGCAGATCACCTGAGGTCAGGAGTTTGAGACTAGCCTGACAAAATGGAGAAAGCCCATCTCTACTAAAAATACAAAAATTAGCCAGGCGTGGTGGCACACACCTATAATCCCAGCTACTTGGGAGGCTGAGGCAGTGAGGCAGGAGAATCACTTCAACCTGGGAGACAGAGGTTGCAGTGAGCTGAGATCGTGCCATTGCACTCCAGCCTGGGCAACTCTATCTCAAAAAAAAAGAAAAAAATTTTTTAATGTAAATTTAAATTTTTTGAGACCGAGGCTTGCCGTGTCTCTCAGGGTGGAGTGTAATTTCACAATCTCAGCTCGCTGCAACCTCCACCTCCCAGGTTAAAGTGATTCTCCTACCTCAGCCTCCCAAGTAGCTGGGATTATAGATCCACGCCACCACACTTGACTAATTTTTTGCATTTTTAGTAGAGATAGGGTTTTGCCGTGTTGGCCAGGCTGGTCTCAAACTCCTGACCTTAAATGATCCGCCCGCCCTAGCTTCCCAAAGTCCTGGGATTACAGGCATGAGCCACCGCACCTGGCCAATTTTTTATTTTTTGAAGCAGTGTCTGGCTCTGTTGCCCAAACTCTGCAGTACGGTGGTGCCAATCTTGGCTCACTGCAACCTCTGCCTCCCAGGCTGAAGCCGTCCTCCCACCTCAGCTTCCTGAGTAGCTGGGACCACAAGCATGCGCCACCACGCCCAGCTAATTTTTCTTGTTTTTGGTAGAGATGGGATTTTGGCATGTTGCCCAGGCTGGTATTGAATTCTTGGGCTCGAGCAATCCACCCACCTTTGCCTTCCAAACTGCAGGGATTATAAGTGTGAGCCACCGTGCCTGGCTGTTTCCCTCTTAATAACCTTAATAAGCTGGGGAAGTTCCTTTGGCTGGAGGACTAGCAAGGTCAAGTGACTTGCTGAAGGCCATAGGGTTGGTAAGTGGCTGGGATTTGACCTGGGCCTGAGCTCTCCGACCCGTGCTGGCCTGTCAATCCAGCTGCACCCTTTGGCGTGCAGGAGGGGGGTCCTTGCTGCTCAGGCCCTCTGGTTTTCTTCTTGGTTTACTAACAGGCACCCCACCCTCCTGGTCAGGCGACCCTAAGATGAATCGTGGGTGGATGGGGCCCAGGCTGAGTTGGCCCTTTACTTCTGTTTCCTCATTAGAAAGACCCACAAAGATAAACAAGCAGACCAACCCTGTTACTGGGGAGACAGGCCAAGAGTGGGAGGGCAGTGCTGAGGCTGCATAGCATGTCTTGGCATTGGTTGTCTTGGTGAAAGGCCCTAGTACCCAGAGACGCTGAGAACATCACACAAGGTCACACAGCATGTCCAACAGTCTCAACCCAGCTTCTGGGCTAGGAAGCAGTTGCTGGCCAGGAATGTACCAGGTAGGAAAGAAGCCTTGTCCTCACCTGCACTTTCTGTGTCCAGAAGTACATGCAGCCGAGAACCCCAGCCCCCCACCACCTGGCCTCTGAGCCGCCAGTGCATGATCAACACCTGAGCACCCAGTCTGCCCTGTTCGCCTCCAGCAGCTGCTGGGGTTCTCTTCCTGAGATACAGAGGACAGAGGCACAGCAGTGTGGGAGATCCGTTTAATTTGGACACTCAAGGCCTGGGCAGAGTGGGAGTGCCCAGGAGTTGGGTGGGCAGGCAAGTGGGTGGGTTGCAGGCCCACTCTTGGCCCCAGGAGGGAATGCCAGGCAGTGGGGGCTGGCCCAGATAGGCCAGGGGGAATGGCCAGAAGAGTGGACCAGGCAGGCAGACCCACCCAGCGACCCTGAAGGCCAGCCCTTGAGAAGGTGTCTAAGCCAGGGGGTGAGTGCCCAGGCCAGAGCTTAACCCAGGGAGGCAGGGTGGGGGCCCGGTTGGGGGCTCTTGGACCCTAGGGACTGGCATCGCTGGGGTCCTCCCCGAGTTGCTGCTGGAACTCCAGGCGTGTCTGCCGGTTGGACTCCAGCAGCTCCTGGAGGCGGGCGTGGAGGTGGTCGTTCTTCTCCTCCAGGTGGTCCAGACAGGAGTTGATCTGGTCCAGCATGGAGTTGATGGCGGCGTATTCTGGTAGGAAGGTGAAAGAGCCCACATCCTGTGTCTCCTTGGGGCTAATGGACACCCTCCCTCCACCGTTTCCCAGCCTGCTTCCCAGAGGGCTTTGTGCAAGTCCCTACTCCTTCCTAAGCCTCAGTGTCACCATCTGGAAAATGGGTGGATACCAAAAGAGGAATCACTTTGAATGAATGACACTGTAGTACTGCATCCTTTTTTCTGGGGTTAGGGTGGTCACAGGGTGGCGAGCTGGTGTCCTGCCTGGGAAGTCCTGCCAGGTGCCAGGTCTCTGCACTTCCTGCAGCAGCTGCTTAGTGGCTAGAGCCCACATTCCTGAGTTGGGGAATCAAGGCCTCTGTCCCCAGGTGGGCCCTGTTCTCCAGCCCTTCTGGCTCCCTCAGGATAAAACACCCAGTGGAGTCTCCTAGCCCTGCCTCCCTGCTAGCCCTACCTCCCTGCCTCTTCCTTTCCTCTCTCACACCTGCCTTTACCTACTTCAGGCCCTTTGAACATGCTGCTGTCTCTGCCTGGAATGTGCTGAGTCCTCCCATCTTCCTTCCCTCCTCTCCTCCTGGATGAGTCCCACTCATCCTTCAAGTCTCAGTATGGAAGTCACCACTGGGAGCCCATCCAATGCTCCAGACTGGATCAGGCCTCCATGCTGAGCCCCTAGCCCTCCTCAGCCCTCCACGGCTCTCCCTCCAGGATTGACCGCTGTGCTTATCTGAGTGCTGTTATGTTTCCCCATGGGAGGTGAACAGTCGTGTTCGCTGCTGGCTCCCTGCTACTCTCAGTGTTGCAATAAGCATCTGTTGATTGACTGAGTGAGTGAATGAATGGAGCTTCTGACTTTCCAGCCTCTCTGCCATTGCTCAGCTATCCCTGCAGCCTAGAATGCCTCAGCCACAACAGCCCTTCAAGGACCAGCTCCAAATGCCTCCTCCAAGAAGTCTTCCCTGATCTCCACTAGAAACCATCACTTCCTCCCGTACACGGCCACTCCAGAGCTGCCTCTTTCAGCAACACAGTGTCCCTGAGGACTCAAGGTCTGGGCCTGTGCCCACTGCGGGGCTCAGTTCTGAGCCAGCCCGTGACTCAGATACACTCGGCTGCCAGCCTGAGCCCAAGGAAGAAGCAGCTGGTGGAGGCTGGCAGAGGCCAGGGCTGGAGGGGTGTTATCTGGGTTATGGGTGCACATGTGCCTGCATTCTGGGGAAGGGCACTGCCAGAGCCGGCCACCCTCACAGAGGACAGAGTCCTGGGAAATTGGCTGCATCTTAAAGTCCAACCCCCTCATGATATAGCTAGGGAAACTGAGGCTTCAGAAGGAAGGAACTTGCCCAGGATCCTCCAGGTTGGTAACAGAGCCGAAACTTAGGACTGGACTTGGGGGTTAGAGGCACTTGGGTTTGAGTTCCAGCTCTGCTTTACCCCAGCAAGTTGTTGCACCTTTCTGGAAAAAAGGGAAAATAACAGTGTGGACATGAGGATTCAAACATATCAAGGGTTCAGACAGTGGCCAGCACAGTGGCTCATGCCTGTAATCCCAGCACTTTGGGAAGCTGAGCAGGTGGATCGCCTGAGGTCAGGAGTTCAAGACCAGCCTGGCCAACATGGCAAAATGCCGTCTCTACAAA